AGTCTATACTATTAATCTTCTTCTAGAGATCTTTCTTAAGTTATACATAGATAGAGCTTTCTTTAAGCTTATTACTATAATAGCTAAGGTCTTTAATCTACTACTTAAGATTATTATATTTAGTATAGAGAGTATTATATTTCTAAGTAAGAGCTTTAAATATAGAATTACTATAGACATTAGAAGTAGTAAGCTTCTTAAGTTAGCCTACCTTAGAAGTAAAGTAATAGATTTTAGTAAGCTTCTTGTAATAGATAGCGCTACTTACTAAGTCTATTAGTTATACCTATAACTATAATACGTTATTAAGAGTAGATTTAACTTTCTAGAGTTATATACGTATATTACTAATAGTCTTATTATTACGCTTATTCTTAACTAAGTAAGTATAAATAGCGTTAGTGTAGTTATATAGATTAATAAGAGAAGTAATAATAAAGCTCTACTAGTAGTCTAGTTACTAAATAAAGTTCTTCTAGAGGTTATTTATATCTATAATAGTAATATTAATTATATTATACTAGATATTACCTTTAGTATAAAGTTAGCCTTTACTTATAGAATAGAAGTATTTACTATCTTTATTAGTGTTAAAGTCTTTTTAGAGTTTATACTATACGTCTTTAGTAGTCTATTAAAGATATATATAATTAGTGTTCTTAAGATACTCTAAGAGAGTATTACTAATATTAATACTAATAAGCTTTTATTTCTTAGTAGTTATAGGCTCTTAGCCTTTACTATCTAGTTCTAGAGGTAGAGGTAGATAGGCTACCTAAAGTATACTTTTCTAATAATAGAAGATCTGCGCTTATATATAGTAGAGTAGCTATAGTAAGTCTATAGATTAGTTTTAGGTATTTCTAATAGTAATACTAGTAGCTTAGATATTACCTTAGAAAGAGTTTGTAGTTACTATTATAATAGTCTTGTATTACATTAACGTAGAGCTTACTATAGAGTTACGCTTTATAAAGCTAGCCTTTACTCTCTATCTACTTATCTATATAAGGTAGACTATTTCTCTACTAGTGTTAGTAAGTTACTTTTATAAGTAATTACTTATTAAGTCTAGTGTCTCTCTATCTATAGGCTTCTAGTATAATACTTAGGTAATTCTTATTATTAAGATCTATACGTTATAGATATTCTAAGTTACTTACTAACTTACTTATTAGGTACGTAGAGTATAGTAGCGCTTATAGCTATTATAAGCGTTAGTAATAATAATCTTAGAGGTACTTACCTAATATAGTAATTAGTAGTAGTAGTAATAATAATAGTTATATGCGTAAACGTGTTCTTAATAACTAAGCCTAATATAAAGTATTCTAGGTTAGTTAGTTTAACGTAATATAGTGTAAAGGTACTTATATACTATAATTATTAGGTATATACTTCTATTAAAATAAGATATTACGTATAGGTATATTACTTATATAGTAGAACTATTTAAAGTTTCTTACTTAATTAGAGCTAGGCCTAATTAGGTAGAGATTATAGATTTAATCTATAATAATTATTACCTTTAAAGCGTACGCTATAAGTACGCTAGTATTCTATAAGTGTAGTAGCGTAATTAGCGCGTATCTTAGCCTTTTTAGCTAGACTAAAGTTAGAGTCTAACTTAAAGTTGCCTAGGCTATTATTAAAGCTTTAGGCGTCTTACTACTAAGTCTAGGTATTATTACTAAGAGTAGAGACTACGCTACTACTAGCTTCTTTATTTAACTAGGCTATTTTTAATTAGTATAGAGATATAGAATATAGAGTAAGCTATAGTAACTAGTTAGTATTGCGCGCTAATATATTAATTTAGTCTATTACTTTATAACTAGATAATATAATTTATGTATAAGTAATTATAAATACTTATTTTAAAAAGAAGCTTATATAATATAAGAGATACAATTAAATAGATATATAATAGAATATAAGCTATAGAGTAGAATATAGAGGTATAGAAACCTTTATATTCTAGAGCTAGTAAGATAACTAGCCTAATTAGGTTAGGCTAGTTACGTAATAATGTTATATTGTAAGTATAGCTAGAACTATAATATTAAGTAGCTAAGCTTATAACTATTAGAGCTAGAGATAATTAATAATTAGAGATAATTAAGTATATTATAATTAATCTACTATAAAAGAAAGTTAGAATAAAATCTCTAGCTATATACCTAAGAGCTAAGTAATTATATATCTATAATTAAGTAATTATAACTACTCTCTAACTTTAATACTTACTTAGTCTACTACTAGTAGAAAGCTATTATTATTCTTATTAAGAAGTATAGCTATAAATTATTTAGAAATTTCTAGAGTAATCTTATAGTATCTAGTCTACTTTATAAATTTTATAGATTTTAAAATAAAGTTTAGAGTAAATTACTATTACTTTAGCTATAGTATATCTAAAATTATATTAAATTCTTTAAAGTCTTTTAAATAAAACTTTTTCTACTCTTTTTAGATAGTATTATAGCTATTAGTTATAGTATACTTTATATCTATCTAGTCTAATATAGCTAGTTTTTAGCTATTAAGACTATAGAACTAGATTATACTATCTTAGTATAGTACGTATCTAGCTTTACTAGCTATAGCTTAACTAATAAAGTTAGCCTTAGCGCTACTATTAAAAAGTGCCTAGATATAAATAGATTTAGATTTAGCTAGAATAGTACTTTTTATAGTAATTAAAGATAAGTTTACTATTTTTAGTCTAGTCTTATACTTACTACTTATAGTAGTAATAAGACTCTTAAAGTATATAATAAGTTTCTTAGACTATAAAGTTAAGTAGCTTAAAAGTATACTTTTTTTTTCTAGATACTAGTAAAGTTAAAGTACTTTCTTTTATAGTACTCTTTATAGTAGTAGTTATAGTATTTAACTTAACTAATATTCTTTATACTTATTTAGACTACTAAAGTAGTTATAGATTTTCTTTTAAGTAGTATATATAGTTTTACCTCTTAGCTAGATAAACTATACTAGTTAGCGTTATACTATATTTACTTAAAAAGTAACTAGTCTCTTTTAGTATTATTTATATTTATCTAAACTTATCTAATCTAAAGTATAAACTCTAGAGCTCTATACTACTAGTTAGTCTTAGCCTTTAGTACTATAAGACTATACTACTTTTACTTAATATTATTTAGTTATTTATATATCTTTAGATTAAGAGTAAAGTAGAAGTTATAAATATAATTCTTATTAGTATTAAAAGTAGCTTAGGCGTTAAGCTTTTTTTATTATATCTTAAAGTAGTTAAGAAGCTTAGTAAAAGTATAATAATACTATTTTATATTTTTAATCTTTTCTTTAGCTATCTACTTATATTTAAAGAAAAAGCTAAGAAACTCTAGTATAGCTAACTTTAAAGTAGTCTAGATTAGAACTAGCGCTTCTAAGTTAGCTATAATAGCTTTAGCTATTCTTTTCTAATAGTTAAGTTAGTAGTTTTTAAGCTATCTAATTATAAAGTTAACTTATATAGTTAAGTTAGTTAAAGTAGAGTTACTCTTAAAGAAGTGTTTATAAGCTTTAGCTTAGCTATTAAGTTATACTTTATTTTTACTTTTAAAATATATTAGAAAATTAGATTTTAGAAGTAGAATTTTAAAAAGTTTAGTTTAGTATAGAGTACTCTTAGTAAGCGTAGCTAAAGCTAGTATTAGTATAAGTAGTAATAAAGTCTAGAAATTACTACTAGTAAGTATAGCTTTAAGAGTCTTATATTAAGTATATAAAGTAGTAATTTTTATATACTATTTAGCTTTTAATAAAAGCTAATTTTTTTATTTAAGTTTTTACTAAAAAGTTAATAGTATTAGTTTATTAATAAGTATTTTTTTCTTAACTAGTAGTATTTCTATAGTAGATATTAGAGCTTATAATTTCTTTTTAGTAGTAGTTAAAGCTAATAAAGTATTAGCTAGCTTAGGCTAAGCTTAAAAAGCTACGTTTTCTACTATACTATATAATTATAATAAAACTATATTTATAGTATTACTAATAGTTATAGATAAAAGTTTATATTATAAAAGTAAAATAAGTTAATATAGAATTATATAAATATAAACCTCTACTAAGTAATTTAAATAAAGCTATTACTTATAAAAGATTTCTTTAAGTCTTTATACTAGTAGAGCTTATACTTATATAAGCTAGTATAGTCTAAAGAGATTTAGAGAGATCTAGAGTAGTTTATAGCTAAGTAGTTATAATATATATTTTTATAAACTATAAAGCTTTTTTAGCTATATTATAGTTATATAAGTAGTAGTAAGTATAAAAGTAATATACTAAACTAATTTTCTTCTCTTTATTTATTATATTACTTAGTTATAACTTCTTTTAATAATTATATTATTTTACTTATTAATAGTAGAGCTACTAAAAGCGCTATAATTAATTTCTTAACTATATTATAAAAGAAGTAAATTTTTATTTATAAAAAGTTTAATTTTACTTTTTTTAATTTTATTTAAAAAGCTAAAGTTTAGTTTATACTTTTTATTACTAAAAAGTAGAAAAACTTTTAAAATAGTAAGTACTACTTTAAAAGCTATAAAACTAAGTTAATACGTATAGCTTTAAATAATAGTTTTAGCTAAAAAAAATTCTAAGCTTACTTAATAAAGCTAAGTAAGCTATTAAAAAAAAATAAAGCTTAAACTAATTATAAAAAGTAATATTTTAACTTAAATTATATACTAAAAGAAATTTAAAAACTATAAAACTAAGTATAAAAGAATAGTAAGAGTAAATATAAAAGTATATAACTATAAGTACTTTTATATAACTAGGTTTTAGCCTTTAGCTAAAATAGAGACAAAATTGCACTTGTAGGTTACTATCTTAATTATTTTTTAAAACAAGTAGGTTTCTAGCTTAATGTTTTAACACAGTTTAAGAAGGCGCTCTGCAAGTACTTGTATACAAACCTAGGGCTTTTGAGAAAGGTTTACATGATAAAGAATGCAATAAAGACCGGCGACATTGCTCAAGATACCGAAGGCCTCCCTGGATTCTCGACCCCACTTGAAAAGCAACAAACGATCGACCCCGAGTTCGAGCAGCTCGACTCTCTTGCCGAGAGACAGCAGTGGGAGCACGCAGCAATGGCATGGCTGGATCTGATATGTTTACACTGGACAGCGATCCTGGATCTCCGGAGTGAACCCAGACAGGCACCCCGCAACAAAGTCCTCAGAACTTACTGGCAGCAAGCGAAGTTCCAACACTTTGAAACCCGTCAAGAGCACCAGGACAGGAGATTGATCATAAAGGGTTATCTGGAGAACTTCACATTGCCATCTGGAGAGAAGCTCACAACGGACGAATGCCAAAAGATCATAACATGGCTGCTAAGAAATGGCCATGGCTACTCCGCGGAATTTGAAAACGAAGAAGCAGAAGCTACAAACTTCACCGGTACCTACCACTGCGAAACAGTCCTACTGAGTCTTGCCTTACTAGCCAAGGAGCCGGCTGATATCCTAGACGTCGATATCAATTCCGCGTCTTCTGCACCACTAAGCAAGGCTCACCTGCAGCTCCCTGGTAAAACAACTACGGATGCACTAAAAGGTAAGATGAGCGCCCTACCAGTATCGCAGAAGTGCTGTCCTGCTTGTCATGCGCTAGTCGAATACTTCATTGAGAATGTAAGTCCAGCTCTAGTATATCCGGGTAAGCATGAGATATGGTCAGCGGCAGCACTTCCACCGTGGATTCCAAGGGAAGCGGGTCAGGTGGTTCTGCGAGCTGCCCGGAAGGCACTGCAATGTCGGTTTGACAGCATACTGCGAGGCTGAGCTTGAGTCTTGTATAAAGCGCGGTGGGCGTGTTGTATCGTAGAGGTAGTATCGATTAGCAAGAATTAATATGATTGTAATAGCTTGGGTCTTGTTTGCTAGAGTGTTGGTTGTGTTGTCACAATAGTGTAGGTGTCGCGGTACTGGAAGCTATCGCAGTACTGGAGTTGTCGCAGTAGTGTAGCTGTCGCAGTATTGTAAGCTGTCGCACTTTTGCAGCTGTCAAAGTAATGTAGTTGTCGCAGTGTTGTGGTTGCTGGCAGGGCTAATAATTTAGAAAGATGCCGTTTAATTGGACTCGCGGACGAGTCGGACGGATTCTGCAGAATCTTAAAATGCTGTACCTCGACTTGACGTGAACGAGTTTAACGCACCTCTAAGTGAATATCGTTGACTTCCATGCTGCGAATGTTACGACAACGAATTTCTGACACGGCAGACGGGCAGTGTCTGGCAAGAAGCTGACTAATATGACGTACCCCTCCAACACGAGCATAACCTTTCCGATCCGTCCCGACATATGAACTTAACCCACCCAAACAACAGTCAAGATGAGTGAATTCAAAGAAATGGTCGTTATTCTTACCGGAGCTTCTCGAGGTATTTATCTATTCACTAAATTCTCCATCACCTCGCTTTCTGTTCTAGTCAAATATGCATTACACTTCCGTGGTCTGCAGACCTCCCAGACGTGTAAAAAAAGCTACACGTGCAAGCGTAGTCAACACCAACGCAGACTCTCATACCGCCAATTCCATTACTAATTCACTCTCGTAGGCATCGGCCAAGCCATTGCGCACCACCTCCTCTCGCGAAACCACAAGGTCGTCCTGGTTTCGCGGACTGAATCTGCTCTAACCGCTCTCCAATCCCAATATGGCAACGAGAAAGTAGCTGTACTCGCTGGCGATATGGCGGATGCTTCGCTCCCGCAGAAAGCGGTTGATCTGGCAAATGAGCGGTGGGGTCGCATTGATTCGCTGATTGTGAATCACGGGACGCTGGATCCGGTGAAGAAGGTGGCGGATAGTAGTCCTGAGGAGTGGAGGAAGGGGTTTGATGTTAATGTGTTTAGTGCGGTTGGTATGGTAAGTCGAAGTCTCGTTCTGTTCTATTCGTTTCTCCTTCTATCGACGATACTTACTCAGACCTTCAACATCAACATTACTTATCCTGGCATCATGCAATAGACTAACTCCCTGCTCTTTTTAGGTACAAGCCGCCCTCCCCTCTCTGCGCAGAACCTCCGGCACCATCCTTCTGACCTCCTCCGGTGCCGCCACCTCCGCCTACCAAGGCTGGGGCTGCTACGGCGCGGGAAAAGCCGTGTTGAACCACCTTGCCCTTACGCTCTCTGTCGAAGAACCTTCTATCACTACTATCTCGATCCGCCCTGGTGTTGTAGATACGGAGATGCAGCGTGAGATCCGCGAAGTGCACCACGAGCGTATGAGCGAGAAAGACAGGACTAAGTTCAGTGGGCTTAAGAAGGACGGCGGACTGCTGAAGCCGGAGCAGCCGGGGTATGTTATGGCGAGGTTGGCTGCGGCGAAGAAGGATGATGTAAAGGGGTTTAATGGACAGTTTTTGAGCTGGAATGATGAGAGCTTGGGAGCTTTTCAGCAGGATTAGTTGGGGGCTTTTCAGCAGGATTAGTTGGGGGCTTGTGATCAGTTACATAGTGACCATCGTCACAACTAGTGCACTTCTTCTAGCCTCAGCCAGACTCATCTTCCTCTTCCTCTCGATCTTCCCACCGAAAATGCTTGGCTTCTCTCGGAAACAAGGTCCCCTCCCTTTCTATATGCTCGATAATCTCCCTTTTCCACTCCAACTTAGGCGTCCACACGCTAACAATGTGATCAAGACTGAACACCCATCTCAGCATATCTGTTTGCTCAAGTGCCCTTGTATAATGCCAGTATAGATGCACTTCCGCTCCTGCAGCTTGGAAAGCTGTCCAAAGAGGAACTAGGATGCGGAATAGCAAGTGCCATTGCTTCAGTCGGATCTCGGTCTGGATGAATGTGATGTTGAGTTTGAAGTCTTTCTTCCGGCGAATACCTTCAGTGAGTTGCGTGAAAGCTTTGCTGAGTTTGTTTTCGTCGATGATCCAGGGTAGCCACACTTCAGATCGCTCTTGTGTAAGGTATAAATCCATTGCTCTTAGATGCTCTGCGGGTAGTACACCAAGTTTAAACGCATCTTCGTGCAGTATGGTATGCATTTGTTCAGGACATCTGACCAGGAAAGCGTACTCACGGTGCGCAGAAATGCGGTAGTACGCCTCCAGGGCCTCTCGGGCCGTGTCCAGGTCGACGTATGCAGGGTTTACGACGATGGGCTTGGTGTCACGTGGAGTACGGCCAATCTTGGGATGCATGTGAGCTGTCGTCCATCTAAAACCGTGTCCGATAGTAGGACTCGGAGACATATAGCACGATGCGAGTCTGTGATAGCTGTCATCCCAGATGTAGTCGTATATCAAATCACGCAGTTCCCGTGGTAGGCAGGCTTGCATCCTAGTAGCGAGGCACAGACAAGATATCTGCGCATGTGTTTGAGCGACTTGATCGAATGAGCTGCCGCCGATTGGTTAGTAAATTGATAAGAACACGACATGGTGTTGACATCGCGTACCCTCCTCTGGACAAGCCCTGGGCGCGCATTGCTTCCCTTTTCAGCCCTTGCAGCCTCCCGTTCTCGCTTTCGTACTCCCACTTGCTGTCTGCGCGTTATTACCGACGTATGCTCCGCACTGAATTTACTGACGATGTATGCCTGCTCATAGCCGCTACAATTCTTCTCCTCCCCTTTTCCCTCTTTCCTATGTCGCTGAGCGCCTGGAGATAGCCTTCTATCATCTCGTAGCGCATGACATGCTCGGATAACCGCCTTTCTGCGGCCGCAAGCTCTATCTTCAGTGCAGCCTCGCGCCTTTGCAAAAACCACTGTCGTTGTGTAGCCATGACGTCGGTTACGTGGTTGTAACTTTTCATCGTGCAAAACACCGAAGTTTGAGTTGTGACACCAGAGAAGCTGGAACGCTAGTCCTAAATGGGTGGGGTTCCCCTGCTAGTACACCAAAGACCTCGGGAGCGTCCACGGACATTTCCAAAGGTTTTGACACAGACGCCCAATCTCAAAGTCGCAGCATTGCCCGAGGTGGTTGCATTGATAACGGAGCCTTGCAAGAGATGCTCTTCGGACCGCGGCATCGGGGCATATGCGGTGGCATCAGCCGCATGATGGTCAGCACTAGCTCACTGGCTAGTTCCAAGGTTATACCGAGGCGCATTATCTTGCAGACGTAATCAATCTGAACCATGTACTCTGCAGATAGGAAAAGATCATGGGCGTTGAATGAGAAAAGAGAAAGATGCATCAAAATTAACTACGTAAAATGGTTCCTCATAGCTTCGACTTGGACACGATCATGGAGTTGCCAATGTTCAACCACTTGACGGCATCTGTGACAAGCTCATCAACAATCTCCCTCGCGTTCTTCCTCTCGTTAACAACGGCAGCGACCTTGCCCATTAGGAACGGCCGCGCGTTGTCCATAGTCTCGTCGTCGAGGTCGTCGCCCATCTTCTCGAGATCATGCTCGACAGGCAATATGCCCTTGGCAGTGAGCTCCTTGATTTCTTGTTGCCTGTTCTCCTCCCAGTTCTGGACGTATGGGTTGGTGCGGATGCGGAGCGGGCGTCCAGTGAAGATGATGGTGCGGATGTTGTCGTCCCAGCCAGCTGTGCGGACGGCTTCTTGGTGGGCCTTGGGCGCACCGGCTTCCTCGGAGAGGACGAAGCGTGTTCCGACCCAGACACCGGTGGCACCGAATGTGAGCATGGCAGCGAGCGACTGGCCGTTGTAGATACCACCCGCAGCTACGATTTGTACCTGCTCGCCGGTCAAGGGCGACTTGTGGCCCTCGACCATCTTGACTGCTGCTGGGATGAAGATGGATGTGGGAACATCTCCAGTGTGTCCTCCGCCCTCGCCTCCTTGTGCGCAGATAATGTCGACGCCGATGTCGAGGCACTTCTTGATGTGCTTGGGGTGGCCGATCATGTTCATGTAGAGGATTCCGTGCTTGTGTAGCTTCTCGACGACGACCTTGGGCGGGACACCGACGGCGGAGACGAATAGTTTGGCGCCGGAGTCGATGATGATGTCGACGAGCTCGTTCAGCTTGCCCTTGGTGTAGTCGTAGCTATATGCCGTTAGTCCCGTGCCTTGCATGTGATGGATCGCCCGGTACGTACTTGGTCTTGCGCGCGCTGCCTCCTACCTGAGGAAGGAGCAGGTCGATGCCGAATGGCGCGTTCTTGTCATTCAGGTATCCCTTCAACTCGGCGATCTGCTCGCGGAGCATGTCGGGTGTGTATCCGACACCGCCGATGACACCGAGACCTCCAGCGTTGGTGACGGCGGCGGCAAGCTTAGGTCCAGCAGCCACGTTCATGCCCGCAAGCATGACGGGGTGCTGGATCTTCAGCAGGTCGGTGAGCTTGGTGCGGATTTGCTCTGAGGTTTGTCAGCTGGGCACATGTGAATGAGGCGTGGATGCGTACGTGGAGAAGCCATGATGACGGTATAGAGGTTTGCGGTTGAGAAAGGGAAGATGCGAGGTAATTCAACAGCGAGAAAGGAAGACGAGTGGATCGAGGATTCGGGCGAATTCTTAAGGTTTGAGGAGTCGGGCCCTTTCTTATGGTTGAGGAGTTCTGGTCGACTCTCTGTAAGCCGTGAGCCGAGGCACGACGCATGTCTCACGCGGAGAGCGCTAACCGCTTATCGTCTAGTGCCATCCGGGGAAGGCTGTCGGCATCGCGCGCCTGCCTCTGTCTGTCCCACCGCGTCACATGCTAACATGTTCACTAATGCATCCAAATGTTTGGCCTCGCTCAGGGCCGCCCCATCACGGTGTCCACGCCGTGTAGCCCTCTCAGTTGACACTATCCACGGCAAGGTCTCTAATCGATCGAATTTTCACTCGTCACCCACTCAACGCCAGGAATGTGATGCACCCTCCGACTCTCGCGTTCCGCACGAGCCTCAATCGCAAGATGTGCGGAAAGTGTTTTCTTATAAGCCTGTCAACCGTAAGAAGGAACTTGCCGTCGTTGCTTTGGGGAGCAACATGGGCGACAGAGTGGCCATGATTGAACGTGCATGCAGAGAAATGGAGTCAAGTGGAAAAATAAAGATCGTACGAACCGGTAGTTTGTGGGAGAGCAAAGCCATGTACGTACTCGATCAAGACAACTTCGTCAACGGTGCCTGTCAGGTATGCTAAATAATGTCCCTTCTTCCAAACGTCAAATTCACGCAAACAGATAGAAACCAGTCTGTCACCAAACGAACTCTTAGACGCGCTTCAGAAAGTTGAGAATGACATGGGCCGTGTCAAAGTCATCGACAAAGGACCCAGAAATATTGATTTGGACATTTTACTTCATGGAAACGAGAAATTCTCCAGCGAAAGACTTACGATCCCGCATGCGTTGATGTTCGAGAGGCAGTTCGTTCTACGCCCTCTTGTTGAGTAAGATAATCATCTATCTGGCCAGTGAAACGTTGCTGATCCTCTCTAGACTTTTGCGCAATCAGCGTGAAGATTACCCATTCTCGAATCAAATTAAACGCCATTTCAAAAGACTCCTTAAATCAGAGGTGCCGCTGGTGCCGCTGACGCCACTTGGACCAGATCTATCCCCAATATCGTCTTCTCGGATAGCGAATGACACGAGGATCATGTCTATCCTGAATGTCACACCGGACTCATTCTCCGATGGCGGCCAAAATTACAATATCGATGAAGCAACCCTAGCCAACACCATTCGCGAACACATCTCGGCCGGAGCCGCAATCATCGACGTAGGCGGACAATCAACACGACCCGGTGCCGTCCAGGTCTCCGCCGAAGAAGAGCTAGCACGTGTCCTTCCAGCTGTAAAGCTGATTCGCTCAATGCCAGAGGCAAACAACATCGCAATCAGCGTCGACACTTACCGTGGAAGCGTCGCCGAAGCTGCCATCAATGCCGGCGCGAACATGATCAACGACGTCAGTGCAGGTGCCATGGACGACACGATGCTTTCCACCATGGGAAAACTTGGCTGTACAGTCTGTCTCATGCACATGCGCGGCACGCCGGAAACCATGACCAGTCCTGAAACGACATCCTACCCCGACGGCATCACAGAGACCGTAGGCCGCGAACTCGTCGAGCGCGTTATTGCTGCGGAAAAAGCGGGTGTCAGGCGCTGGCGTATCGTTCTCGATCCTGGTATTGGCTTTGCGAAGACAAAGGAACATAATCTTGAGCTGCTTCGCCGACAGGATGAGTTGATGAGGTATCCGGGTCTAGAAGGCATTCCTTGGCTTGTGGGCACGAGTCGGAAGAAGTTTATCGGCGATATTACGGGGGTCAAGGAAGCGAAAGATAGGGTCTGGGGGACTGCTGTTGGGGTGGCAGCGGCTATCAGGGGTGGGGCGCATATTCTGAGGGTCCATGATGTTAAGGAGATGGCGCAGGTTGCGAAGATGGCGGATGCGCTGTGGCGCACGTGAACATGACGCGGCGCGATAGTCTTCCAACGATCTTCGCTCTCGCCCTCATTTAGTGGGAGGTTTCAGGCGTCATCCGTGTTGTTGGTTCCGCTCCACGCGGTAGCGCTCCGGTTGGTTCCGAATCCTTCATGAACGTGGTTGTCGACTCGCTTCCACGAAGCCTGAACCAAACAAAGAATACGTGGAAGGAAAACCTGTAACCTCGAACAACATCCCACTTCTCTTCACCCTCAACATCAAACATGGCGAATCTACGTGAGCTCCATCAAGAACTGCGACGCGTACAGGACCGAGTATTTCAGTAGGTAGTTGTCGTACTACGTCGCCGCTCATCTTGGCTAATTCTCACAGGATCAAACGTCGTCAGAACGAGTAAGCACGGTCCTAACAGATGCTTTCAAAGACTCAAGAGAAGCTGACGGTAGAGTCAAGTGAACTATGGATGGCAAGTAGCTACTCTTGGAGTCACGATGATTGGAACGAGTGGAAAGCGTAGGTTCTTATGATTCCGGAAGATGCAGCTTCACGGTGAGCAATAGCTCACAGACATAGTTTGAACAAAGAACTGGAAGCATCGTACGAATCACACTCAAAAGCCTGGAACAAACTTTACTACGCCAGAATGCACGATCGGCTACCGCGCGAGATCCGAGATATGATCAATGCCGAATTCTGGGATGAAGACTACTTGAAAGGCTTTGAAGGCTCTGAGGTAGCCATGAAGGCTATGGGCGAATCCGCAGATACTCACTTGTTGCAGCCTAATCGCATCTTGTGTATCTCACAAGTCGTCTTACCGGAGTATGTAGGAGCCGAGGCTGCCAAAGAGAATGTCCAGATGTGGCACCAGACCGCGGCTAGAATATGCCCAATGCCAAGGACCTGGCTCGTACTCAGCGGCTACAACCTAGGAGGAAAACTCCACACGGTCATATGCAAAGATACGTTCGGGGTGGGCTTAGATCCCGCCACTGCTCTGCGATTCCTGAATATCGAAGTTGACGACACCTCTCTTGTGCTTGGTCACAAACACTCCGCATTCGAAGATGCCGCCTCACGCCAAAACGCGTTCAACCTCCTTCTTCGCATTAAGAAGAAATTTGGCTTTAAGCTCAACTTCATTATCTACCACGATTGCATTCGTCTCAAGATGTGGCCCGAAATCCTTGGTCTACTGAGACCTATCGTTGAAGTGATCGAACGAGAAGGAGGTCATGTCACTGTTGAGTCCGATTACAGTGGCAACAATACGGATTGCATGGATGAGACATCGGGTGTGAGAACTGATATTGAACACCTGGTCAGAACATACGATCCGGCGACCTGGGACCAGAGCATGAAGCAGGGTCTGATCGATTATTTCGAGGAGGTGAGACGATTGTAACTCCCCTAAGGAACAGTATCTGACAAGTCATTTAGTTCGATGATGAGCAACTGAGACCTTATCATCGCTACTATCGGAGCGAAGAAGATAATCCAGGCTCAGATCCTGTTGTGGCTGCCTGGCAACAATCTGTTGCGCCCTATGGTTATCGGTAAGAAGGGTTTACTTCGTTTGGGAGGAAGGATGCGTGGCTATCACCGTGCCGATACCATTCCAATCTAAATCTTTTAAGCCGCATGCAAATGTACAAGCTTCGCACACGAGGCGTTCAATAATCGTGAGGCCACCCATGAAGTACGTGTAAGTGGGGCAAACCGCGAATCTAGCGCGACTCCGCCTTACGAATAAGACGGTAATTTACACTTCACTACTTCCAGAGGGAAATAAACGCTTTGGACTCAGAGTAACATATTATCTTCTTTCGCGCTATACCACCACCATGAAAAGTTCATACGACTTGGAACACGATGTGCGCGACACGTGTAAAAGACTGTTCATGTTTGTATATCCATTCTCATGCACTGCTGCCTGGACTTCAGAGAAACTGACCTGCCTGACTAGCCTGAAACGCGCAAAAGCTGCTGCAGAGGAGAGGTAAGTGCTAAACTGCGGCGCTCCATAGCGATGCAAGCTAATGTAGCATCCAAAGGGAGCGTACAGCAGCAAAACATGAGTGGCTATCAGCAGCGGAAAAGAAGACGGAAGTGCAGGCGTAAGGGACCGCCAGCTCTACCCAACTTTTTCCATCGCTGACGTTGCCTTGTACACAGCGAGCTCGATGCATCCTGTGAGCAGTTATCGAGAGCCTGGAACATGCTATGCTCTGCTAGGATGCAAGAGCGACTGCCTGTCGAGATTCGCGAGATGATATATGCGCAGATCTGGAGTGTGGAGTATCTCCACTCCACAAGACAGCCAAGGCAGCAGTCCGGTCCTCCTGGCCACTCCGATCCGAGATGCCATACACATGTTGCTCGGCCCGACTTCATGGGCAAAGAGACAGCCCTGGAAATGGTGCGGGCATGGTACGAAGCAGCAGCTACACTCACACCAGACACCTTCACGATCCCTGATACCCAAGAGTCGATCCAACAGACCGTGTGTGAAGATCGCTTCAAAGTGGGCCTAGACCCAGCAACCGTCCTCCGGACTCTCACCATCGATTTCAACGAGACTACATCTAGACTCGCTAGTCCGTATTGCAAATGGCCAGACGCAGATACACGGCGGAAGACTTTCGATCTTCTCTACCGGCTCAAGAAGAAAGCTGGTTTCCGACTCAACTTTCGTATATGCACTCCCAAGTTCCGATTGAACTGTTGGCCCGACTTCTTCGATCTTTTGCAACCCACGGTCAAGGCGTTCGATGACGAAGGAGCTATCGTTGACGTCCAGGCTATTCATTGTAGTCGGGGCCCACACCCTACACCATATTTATTTGTGGACTTGAACAGCATCGTTAGAAGCTATCATCCAGTGACGTGGAAGCAGGGCGTGATCGAATATCTCGACTCGGTAATACTGGCCCTCATCATCCTCATGCAAGACCGGCGCTGACAAGCAGAGTAGATCTGTGACTGTCGCATTAGGAATCAGGACAGACATTATCGAGGGGAGGACGAGCCGGATTACAATCCAGACGATGGGCAGGAGGATTATTGGAACTGGGATTTGCTCGAAGACACAGGTTTACGACCTTCTGATTTGGACAGAGGGTTGTCGAGACAGAATTGTGGTTGTGATGGCTCCGGGAGGCGCAGGTCGTTTAAGTATGGCTCGTAAGTGGTACGCAAATAAAGCTGTAGGCTGCAGGGAAGTCCTAGGAAGGAAGGCGGGGACAGGAACGTTAAGGGATGGGTGCGGAGTCTTCTTCGGTAGTTGCAGCTCGCTGCGCCTGGCGCTTCAAGGTTGTTGCTGAGACAAGGGATCGGAATGTTCCGAGGTTGCGGCTGTGCCGCATGCCCGCAGTCAACAAACATATAATAATCCCAACCCTTAAATTCTTAACCTCCCCCCCCGCCCGAAGGGCCATACGTCTCACATCCCCCACGCTTCCCACAGTGTGAGCGTATCGCCATATACAACCGCAACTATGGATACAAATCTGGAATCAGCGCTGGACTGTCTGCGCGAGTGAGTATAGACGAACTATTCCGCCCCACTTCGCTCTTGTGCTAACAAGCTTGCAGCATCAAGCGGAAGGACCTCCATGCTCAAAAAGAGTACGTCGTATCCAGGACTTCTCCAATCTTCAGGAGCTGTACTGAACAATCACCAGACTTGACTCAGTTCAAAAGGAAATCGCAGCTGCCAGAGAAAAGCTCAGGGAACTGAGACAGCAACGCAAAGATATCGCAACAGAGAAGACTCATGCGCTTATCCAGTGAGTGCATGGCATCTAGAAATCTGACATTAATTCCAGTCTAACCTGTCAGGTCTTTTCCGTCAGCCCTTCGGCGCTACTCCGCAGGCTGGAGCCTTCCATTTTTCGACCTGCTTCAACAACGCCTACCTCGTGAGCTTCGAGATATGGTTTATGCACACGTCTGGGACAAGAAAACTTTGATCGATACAAGCATCACTATGACATCTATCATGAGAGATGGTTGCAGTGCCGAGCCGGAAGAATGCCAGGACGCCATGATTTACGACTCGCAAGCGATTAAAAGCTGCACGCACGGCCAAGTACCATATTTCGTAAAACCAGCTTTCACCGGACAAGAATCTGCACGGGAAATGATCGAGGCTTGGTATAGTCGCATACATGGTGCCAATCCCAATATCGCGATGGGAGTACCTCTGGATCATGTTCCGTCCATTCTTCAACATGATAGATTCCATGTCGGCCTGAAGCCTGCCGCATTTCTGCGGAAGTTGGCTGTTATCATCCACGCTGATGAACTAATTGCAGACCTTGAGCATGACTCGGAGAAGGAGAAGCTTTATAAGCTGTTTTTCGATTCGCTCCTTTCCATTGAGAAGAGATTGGGCTTCGTACTAACACTTCGGGTGAAACAAAAACATGTCAGGCTCAACGTTTGGCAGCGGATTCTCAACATGTGCAGGGATGTGGTGACCATCCTCGAGAAGGATGGGGCTCGTGTGCGGATTCAGTTCGTATACGATTGCGTGCAGCCATCGCGAATACCCAAGTATAACATGTACTCTGCTCTGAAATATCCCGAATCCGATTGGCGACAAGATGCAGTACGCTTCTTTGACACGGTAAGACCTTCACATTATTCAGACCCTATTCCCTAGATTTGACGATTCGTATGATCAGGCTACACGAATAAAGGACGAACACCGAGCTTATCGTATCGAGAACAACGACGACTATGAACCCCCGTCATATCAGTATGATTCCGAGCTCGATTACGATTCGGATGCGGACATCTACAGCAATCATGGCGAGAGCGACGACAGTGTCGATGAGTTCCGTCGAGATCGTCATAGATACTATCGAAGGTATGATGGGTGGGATTCGGAGCGTCAGTACGGAAGTGATTTCATAAATTGGAAGAATGACCTGCTGAACCAACTTGAGCTGGAAGCAAGTAAAGATTGGGACTATACCGACGAATCTCCGAGTCCGCCCAGGTGGGAGGACGTCTACCCCGAGCCCGAGTTACGTGGACCTCCTGATTACGATTCATAGTCGGAGTAAGATTGACAAGACCAAATGGCATCACGTGATTAGTCGTCTTACCTAGGACCACTTTTATTATTGTTTAGCTCCTTGTCATTACAATACAAACTATGTTACACATATCTTTCGCAGCATTCAGACGCTCGTGAATACTAATAGATACTTCATCGAATGGGTAATATACTGCAGCCATCTTGAAGGGGGCAGGGATTCGGGTCTTCCCGAGGTCGGAATGCTAGTCGTTCCGATACCCCTATCCACCGTGCCACCTCATATTCCTAGCAACAAGACTTCAACCCCCAAGGTTCATCCGCATTGATCACGCCACCCAAAAACAGCCATGGAGAGAGCAGCTATGATCGATTGGAAGCTATCGGCTGAGTCCGCAGTGCAGCGGCTTCGCGCGTAGGTCTTTGGGCCCTGTCAGCACCTCATGTCGGATCAGTTCTAACCTAGTTGCAGCATCAAGGGTATGGAATTAGACGCGAACGATACGTACGCAAAGCTCCTAGAGCTTGACTGGTGCACCTTGTGCTAAAACCTCCCAGAATTCGTACAGCTACGCGAACTATCTCAGCATTGAGAAGGCAGATCAAAGTATTAAAAATCGAAGAAGCAAGAGCGCGACAGCGTAAGAGAGACGTTCGGCGCGAGTAAGTCTTGATCTCTCTGAACTCGAGCAAAGACCTCATACAAGACTCCAACACAGACACCTTCCGTTAGCTCTCTCGGCGTTCACCGCCTCATGGAGTCGCCCCTTCTTTGAGCAAATGCAACGGCGTTTGCCTCGTGAAGTTCGCGACATTGTATACGCATACGTCTGGGACGACAAGACACTGAAAGATACTCGTATAACATATCATCCTAAGTGGAATTGCTCTGGGGGCGACATAGATTGCGACACTTTAGTAAAAACGCATCACCCGGGAACAGTGGACAGCTGCCCTAAACATGGACAAATTCCTTACTTTATGAGACCTGGATTCGTAGGGGATGCATCGGCCTTGGAGATTGTCGAATCCTGGTACAAGTCGATCTCAAGAGTACAACCCGACATATGGGAATTACGAACCACAGACGAACTCGACTACGTTATCCGTGGCGACGCCTTCTCTGTCGGTTTGGATACTACAACTGTTGTGCGCAAGTTGACACTCAGGCTTACTACCGACGGATTCCTAAGGAACAAGGGCAAGGACACCAGCGAATCGAAACGAACTGTCGACGCGCTGCTCCAGATAAAGAATAAGGCGAATTTCAAACTAAGACTGCGGTTGGAGCAGTCATACCTCCAACTGAATCCCTGGTTCACCGTCTTCGACATCTTCCGACCCATGATTGAGAAATTCGAGGAAGAAGGCGCGGACGTAAGGCTGCTTCTTGTCTACGCCCAAGATCTTATACCGAAATTGGTGTTCAACATGCTCCCCGCGTTGAAGAATCCCGAATCCAACTGGAGAGAGGAAGCCGCTCGTCACTTCGACAGTGTAAGCACACTAATTCTACATCGCTCGCTGCCTCACACATAGTGACTTACGAATATATAGGATTCCCGCGTACGCGAGCACCACAAACACTACCGCATCGAAAACGACGCAGACTACGACCCGCGGGAACTTAAGAGCAGGGACTACAGCGAGGATGACTGGGAGTCAGACGATTACCTAGGCTATGAAGAAACTGACTCTGACCGCGATGAATATGGCAAATCGGTTTCTCCGGAACCTCCATGGACTCCTTATGAGCCGCCACGGTATTATGGAACTATGTTTAGAGAGGATCAGATTGAAGAGGGGTATGAGCTGGATAGCGCGAGTGAGGGGGATGACTAGAAGGCAGGAGGCTTGTCAATTTGTTAGAATGGGCAGCATTGCTCGTGAAGCTTTAGTATCTTTACAAGAGCTGCGTTTACTATAAATATATACTTTCTGAAGATACCAGGAAGAACACATTACTTTGCCCGATTGTGATCAGATACAACATCGTAAAAATAATAACGCATGTCAGCCAGCGAAGTAGCGCAGAGATTCCCGACGTCATGTCGTCGCAACGCTAGCTGTTCCGACGCCACTAGAGCGCCTTCCTACTTCATGTATCCAGCCACCGTAGGTCAACTTCCATATTGCGTTCACCCTGATCAGGCTGTCTAAATCCAGCCACGGAGACGGCAATGACCGATGATCCAAAGCCACTGGAGGAGCTCAGCCCACGGACGCGCATCCGACGTGAAAACGAAAGATTGCGTAAAAAGTATGCTCTACAAGCTCAGTAATTCGTGACGTTAATCTGATATAGCGTCTGCCAGATAGGTACCGTCCCTTGGTGAAAGCGATATGCCGTGTCTGCGCAACATGGAACCTTGCCTTTTGCGAACAAATGCAAGCGCGCCTTCCCTTGGAACTGCGAAACATGGTGTACAAGCACGTATGGGACGCACCTACACTTCAATCAACACAAGGTTCGATGGCCTACCTCGTCCACCGCCGGTGTAGAGGCGCACTTAAAGGCAAGGAAGAAGAATGCCAAAAGGTAGCCTCGACGCACGAGCCAGGCACAAGATACACCGTCTACCTGCGTCCCTGCTACATGCATACCTGGACCCCTTTCTTCGTCAGACCTGGATACGTGGGCCAGGAAACAGCTCGAGAGGTTGTGGAGGCGTGGTACAAAATCATCGGTACATGGTGGCCTAAGATGTGGAACATAGGGGACCTTATTGAGCTTCAGCACATTATACGCAGGGATGTGTTTTTTTCGTTGGCCTGGATCCGTCGAAGTTCCTTCGCAGTCTGACGCTTGACCTCCATGTTGAGAGTCTCTTCACGAGTCGTGACTGCGAGTCGACTCAGGAATGCATCGACTCGCTCCTCAGCATCAAGCGCAAAACCGACTTTGAATTGATCATCCAATTGAGACAGAGGAACATCAGCTTCGACTCATGGTCTACAGCTTTCGATGCACTCCGGCATGTGGTCACTGTGTTTGAGGGCGAGGGCGCACACGTCGAAGCTACTTTTACCTACGACAAGGAAAGTCTCTGTCCGAAGATTACCTGGGACTTGCTTCCTGCGCTGAAGAGTGGCAATGACGACTGGCGCGCTGAAGCAGAACGTTATCTGAACTCTGTAAGTGCTCGTCTTCATCACTGTCATCATCTTCACACACACACACACACACACACACACAC